CCCCCACCCGCTAGCATGGCCCAGGACTGAGCAGTGTTTCATTCTGGTGTACACAGCGTCGCTCAGTGAGAACTAAAACAATGGCAGCAGCACCGCTGTGTGTGTGCACAGTGAAGGTGTATGTAAAAACATCCTGGGTTCTACAGCACACCCAGCGCAAATCAAACTCTGCATTTTTTAAACATCCATAGGAAATGTACATGCAGCTGGTCCACAGGTCTGATACTGGGACCTAGTGATCAATCTGAAGTCACAGACTTGCCAATCTCATCTATCCAGAACACGGCTAAGCATTGGGGAGTGTGCGGGAGAAGACAGGGAAAAGCCACGCCACACTCAGAATAAGCATTTAGGCCTTTACTCTGAGCTTCTTGATTAAACACTTGGGTTCCCAGTAGTGCAGATTTAAATTTAATTCATTGACAAGGCACACTATTAGGTACTGATGATGAAAAAATATGAACCTTATATTCTACTAGGAATTTACACCATCGTAGAAAAAGAAAATACAACCATCCCATCATAATGCAATAGTAACACAAGTATGCACAGCGTAGAGCAGTACTCAAACTACGGCTGAAGGCCACATGCGGCCCGCCCAGTGTCTTGGCCGCCGCTACCTGTCCTGCTTAGCAGTCGACTCGTCCAGTGTGCATAGGAATTTGTTCATAGTTTTTTTTTAAACTATAGTCCGGCCCTCCAACGGTCTGAAGGACAGTGAATTAATCCCCTGTTTAAAAAGTTTGAGGACCCCTGCCGTAGCGTGATAGCCAAAAGAGCAAACGGGTAAAGGAGCCGGCGGCACAGCGGGTAATGGCTCAGACACGAGCCAGAAGATCAGGGGCTGGATTCCACCAGGTGCTCCTTGGAAGGAAGAGGCAGAAGTCGCCTTTTATAGAAACTTGGAAACATGATGGGGCAGTTCTCCTGTCCTGAGGGGTCACTATATGCTAGAATTGACCCAGCAACGTGTTGGGGATGTTTGTCTCATCTGTCTACCTTGGAGTGGCTTATGAATTCTAACTGCTGACCTTGTAGTTAACAACCCAATACATAATCCAGTATGCTTCCTACGCTCATATAAATGTATATATTGAAGATGTTCCATGGGATACTTGCTTAGTTTGTTACTGTTGGCTTTTTTATTCTCCAGTATATATATTTTTTCTTATTATTAGATTCTTGTATTTTCAAGCTTGGTTAAAAATTTGGGAGGTGTTTATGGTCACTGATCTTGTACTACCTGTAATACATTTCTGAGCAGAAACAGGAATAGCATTGGTATACGTTTCAGAAGAAATCAAAAGCCAGGACTCTTTTCTGGCTTATACTTTTAGTAATGCTGTGATTGCATTTCTTTACTTCTCCCAATGAGTCTTGAAAGTCTATGATTCTTTTTGTGCCCACACAGCAGTGACATGTAGTAGATGCTCTTCCCTTTTTCTTCTTTTAATAAATAAACTGATACTCGAAATACCTAAACAGTATCACATATATGTGAGGTTTATTTTCTAGGATCATTTGGCTAAAAGATGATATTTCCTATCCTGTGTATTTTTGAAGAACTGAAATACTACTACTTAAAAGCCAAAATGGAACTGTAGCAGTTTAAAACTAAATGCTATCCCTGAGATACTTAGCTTAGACCTCGTTTTGTAGGTGAGATAATTAAGGATCAGAGAGGTGAAAAAAAAGGTACTTTTAGAACCAAGATTCTAACTCAAATTATACTGCAATATTCTGCTAAGGTGACATGCATATTACATATATCGTATATATCAGTGGTTCTCAACCTTCCTAATGCTGAGACCCTTTAACACAGTTCCTCATGTGGTGGTGACCCCCCAACACTAAAATTATTTTCGTTGCTACTTCATCACTGTCATTTTGCTATTATGAATTGGGCGACCGCTGTGAAAGGGTCGTTGGACCCCCAAAGGTTGAAAACCACTAGTATATATCCACACAAGGGGATTTCAAAAGTTCTAAGAAAATTGATTTAAAAGACAATGAAAAGTTTCCACTCTTTTTGAAGCTCGTGTGTGCGTGCGCACACGTGGTGTCGTGTAGAGTCTAGCTCGTGATCTGTGTATACGTGTGCCTATTACTATTATAAGCTGTCACTGAGTTGGCCCCAATTTACGGTGACCTATGCACAGTAGAACAAAAGGCTTCCTAGTCTTACCGTGTCGCCACGATTCGTGTGGATTGGCCAGTGCCCCTTGTGATCCCTACAGGCTTTTCGTTGACTGATTGTCTAAAGTAGATGTTTTTCTCCCTAGTTCATTTTAGTCTGCAAATTCTGCTGTAACTTGTTCAGCATCTGTCCTGTGCGATACCAAAAATACCCTAGAATTCTCTGCTTTATAAATTTTTTGGCCTTTTACTACTTATATTTACCTGATATAAGCTCCCCTGCCTAAACCACCCTTTCTTTTTCTCAGATTCCGTGGATTTGTCTATTCCTAGTTCTCCAACTTGGTGAATTCTTCACCTTTTAAAATTCCAATTTAGATGACTTCTTTACCCACCAATTTTCTCAACATCACTTTTCCCCTCCCCCGTTACTAAAAGCAAACCAAGCAAACAATGTCCAACACGTTGCTGGGTCAATTCTAGCTTATAGTGACCCCTCAGGACAGAGGAGACCTGCCCCGTCATGTTTCCAAGGTTCTATAGAAGCCGACTTCTGCCTCTTCCTTCCAAGGAGCACCTGGTGGAATCCAGCCCCTGATCTTCTGGCTCGAGTCTGAGCCACTACCCGCTGTGCCGCCGGCTCCTTCACCCGTTCGCTCTTCCTGCTCTCACTACACATACTTGTGTTACTATTGCATTATGATGGGATGGTTGGTGGTTGTATTTTCTTTTTCTATGAGGGTGTAAATTCCTAGTAGAATATAACATGCTTATTTTTTTCATCACCAGTACCTATTAGTGTGCCTTGTCAATGAATTAAATTTAAATCTGCACTACTGGGAACCCAAGTGTTTAATCAACAAACTCAGTGTAAAGACCTAAATGCTTATTCTGAGTGTGGCGTGGCTTTTTCCTGTCTTTTCCCTCACATTCCCCAATGCTTAGCCGTGTTCTGGATTAACTAGGAAGTAAACCTGTCACTAGGCAAGCAGAGGGTCACATTTTCATTGTGCACAATTAAAAAATTTTCATGTAATACTGAAATTTTGATACCCAACAATTTTTAGACCATGTGAAGCCAACTACATTCAGCACTATGGGGGCTGAGGAAGGCGCAAGTAATCAAAAAATTTTAAGAAAGGAAACCAACTCCCTTTCCTCACTCTAGAGAAGGACAAGGTTCTGGGAAGTCAAAGATGTCCTGGATGGCTTTAACAAATTTAAAGTGTCACTGTGGCTTATGCTCAACAATCCTGACCTGCCATCAACAGGGGAGACAAGAGGGTAAGTCATGACGAGTCTGTCTTAAGGGGTCCTCTCAGTCAAATACAGCATACAGCAGCAAGTCCGTAGCACTGCCTTATGGAAGTGACGCTGAAGAGTGTTCGGTCTTGGCGGAGGCGTGGAGCTATCCTGGCTAGGGCATCCCTAACACTTCTGCAGATGGTGTTGTCAGGGTCGAAGAGAGTTTGAGACAGACAGACCAAGCTTTATTTTACAAAATATGAACCAACTGCTACTGGACTCCCCCATAACATAACTGTCTACCACAGCAGCCTTTGAAAATAAAGCAAGACAGGAAATGGATTTCACTGCCATTCTAAGCAGTAATTTTTAAAAGGAAAAAAAAATCACACTTGATATCTTTCTGTAAACTGAACCCACTCCATTGAATTGAGATGCTAACACAGGGTCTGAGAGTATAAATCTTCATGGAGTAGGTGAGCCTCCCCTTTCTCCTGAGGAGTGGCTGGTGGGTGTCAAGCAACCAGCCTCCCTGTGGTCAGTTAGCAGCTAAGGGCCTACCCCACAATGCCACAAGGACAATTCCAAATATCAGAATACTGAAATTATTATTCCCTTGTGTTATTACAGGGGAGAATTCCACTGCTAGCCAGGAAAGAATAACTAGTGTCAAATTATTCTTTTACTGTAAAATAGCAACTGCTTTTAAGACCTGGCTAACAGAAAGCAGAAATGGGAAAGATACAAGATAAACACCACATGCACTTTGGCTTCTGGCTTCACGGTGCATCATGACCTTGGCAGGTAAAGCCCAAGTGAAAAGTGATGGCTTCTCTAACCTGAGGAGGAAGCGATCGGCTGCTGAGGGAGCTGGGACTTGTGTACAACGTACAAGAAATGAAGAGATTACGCTAGGGCAAACGTGAAGGGCATATAGGGAGTTTCCCTAGGGCTCTGGCTGAGGCCATAGTGTATCTGGGCAGGATGAGAATCACACACACACACACACACACACACACACACGCGCGCGCGCGCGCGCGCGCGCTCCACCCCCCACCCCCACCACCCTCTGCAGGACTGTGAGCCTGAGTGGAGCAACCAGAGGTCATATACACAGAGCTACAGTGTGAGCTCAGACAAGTGAAGTGTCCTTGCTTAGCACCTCAGACATTCCACAGAAATTCCAGAAAAAGCCAACCTTTACAAATAAGGATCACAACCTCGAGGAGGAGTCATGCCCTAAAAGTAAAAGCTGAAAGAGGTTCCTCTAACAAAGCATTTAAACCAGCGGAACAGGATCAAGAAGCTACTCCAGCCATCTAAATGCCTGCTAGAACAAGATTCACAGCTTCTTGAAAGACAGCACTACCGATACCTCCCATATACCATGAACTCGCCCATCACATAATCAAGGATTTCTAGACACGGGAAGCAGGAAATGTGACCTACAACAGAAAAATGAAGTGACCCAGATAGTGGATTATCAGACAAAAACTTCCAAAAAGTCTTTACAATTATGTTACATTTAATAAAAAGGGGAGCAAAATGACAGGATGGTGTTTTATTCTTTTGTACATAAGGTCGCTATGAGCTGCATCGGATTCAGTGGCACCAAACAGTAACAGGGGCATGTGAAAAGATGAGAAATCTCAATGGCAAAACAAACAAAATGGAATCAAAAAGGAATGTTGGAGCTTAAACATCCAGTATCTAAAATGAAATCAATCCTTAAGTAGGTTTAAATGCATATTGATGGAATAAAATTGATTTAATTTTTTCTAAAGAATTAAAGGAGGCTATTTTGAGTTGGGGGTGGGATGTATAACAGAAATCTCTCAGCCAATAGAAAGTAGCTTCACATATAACTGAATCTCTAAAGAAGGAGAAGGATAGATGGAAGAGAGGCTCATTCTTCGATCCTTTGGGCATGGCGGCCTAACCCCTTCAGCTGTGATCAGCGGACCTGTGTCTGGCTACCTGGAACTCGTGAGGGGCAGTGCCCCACTCCAAAACCAAGCAGGTGAAGTGTAGACCTCTGAAACCTACGAGGCTGTGGTCCCACAACGTGAAATTAAGACAATAAAGGTCATGCCCTTAACTTGTACGACAGTGATATGTGCTTCCTGTGCTCCTTGTCTCTAGCTCTGCTTCATGATTCTTGCCCCAGGCCTCTTGGACTGACATGGTCTTTGCCATGCTCAGGCAAATGTTACAAAGCTCTTAAGCTCTTTTGCCAAGTGTCTGGAGGTACCCCCACTCCACTAGGAAAGGCACTCCACTTTCTTACCACGTAGGTCCACTTCTGCTCAGTCTCACGCTAGTTTCCTGAATCAGCGGTTGACACTTTTCTGCCACTACTTCACACCACCTGTGCCATCTGTTACAGCGCCCCTTCTGAGCCATCACCAGAATTACCTTTGACCTCTAAATTCCACCAATAATTCCATCAAGGCAATCTACACTTTTACTGCTATGACTTAAAATTCTTCCAGCCTCTCTCCATTACCCAAATGCAAAACTGCTTCCATATTTTAAGTAACTGTTAGTGCGATGTCTTACTCCTCGGTTTTAGTTATCTCTTGTTAAGTAAAAGGTGATGCAGGCCATGCCCCAAGAAACTGAATATCCCTATGAAGAAAGTGAACAATAACCTCACATCATACACAAAGAATTACTAAAAGTGAATCAATCAGCACCTACATAGAACCAAAACTATAAAAGAAAAAAAAAAACATTTGTAGAAGAAAGCACATGAGAAAAATCTCTGCAAACTTGTAGTAAGCGAAGAATCCTAAGCTCAGACACAAAGAACATGGAAAATAAAAGAAAAACTAATATTAGACTTCATCAATATACTCTCTACTCTTTAAAATACACAATTAAGAAAGTTAGGGGCAGACACATTCACAATATATGGATCAGGCAAACAAATAAACCTGGATCTTGAACACAGTTTCTCAGCCTCACCAGTATCTACATTTTAGGGCAAAATTTTTTTATTGTGGGAGGCTGCCTTGTACATTGTAGCTACTTAACAACCTTTACCTAATAGAGGCTAGTAGTAATTTTCCTTCAATGTACCAACCAACAATATCTCCCGAAACTTCCAAATGTTCCAAGGGACAGAGTTGTCCCTAGTTGTGAAATGGTAACATAACATGTTACCATTTATTTTATATAAATATAATATGCTTACAAATGATCATGGGATTTGGCAAGGTAGAGCTCATGAGCAATATTAACAGCAGTAGTTTTACGAGTACTTTAGTTGGGCAAGTTTAAGAGAGAAGAGCAGGACATAAAAACAGTAAGATCAGGTAACTACTCAGGACCAGTGAGTGGTGAGAGTGGCGATACTAGGAGGGTAGAGGGAGAGTGGGCTGGAAAGAGGGAACCAATTACAAGGATCTACATGTGACCTCCTCCCTGGGGGACGGAC